CGAAGTTTGAGGCCTTATTCTTTGTCATCCCTCTTCCTTCCGCTCGCACACCTTTACTGAGATTCATCGAGAAAAAGTCAGAGATTTGTCATGCTCGACGCTTCTACTTCTTCAGTCTAATCGTCCACCTTGATCTCAAAAAGTGCTCTGCCCCCTCGTCCATGCCAGCTCGGACCGATCAACCCACTTGTGATTACTATCACAAATTCAATCACACTCGGGACAAGTGTTACAAATTTTACGGTAAGCTGATGTACAAATCTTCGGTCAAATCCTATGTCATTAAGGTCTCACGACAACTTCAGAGCCTATCACAACTGAACCGAATTCTACTTGGAACATCTCAGAATACTCTGAATCTAAAAAAAACTAGATTGAGCAATTGATCAAACTTCTTGGAGTCATTCAAGTCTCTGTAGGTCTGTCGACCTCCCACGTTTGACAATGTACTCTTATTTTGGCTATCACGGTTTATTCCTCATATAGTCTGTGGATTATTGATTTAGGTGTCATAAATCACATGACTGGATGTTCACAAGCTTTTTCGACTTACTATCCATGTTCTGGAAAAAATATGTCAGAATTGTTGATGACTCCTCTAATGTCATTGTCGGTAAAGTGTCAGTTGTACTAACAACCGATCTAACTCTGGAGTCTATTTTGCATGTTCTCCTATTACAATATAAATTGTTATTTGTTAGCAAGTTGACAAATGAAATTGATTGCGTCCTTTGTGATGGTTGTATTTTTCAAAATTGTCATTCTGTGAGGATGTTTGGAACTGCTAATAGGGTAGGTAGACTCTACTATTTCCAAGTGGAGAGTACGAAGAGTGTGGACACACTACTCAGGAGTTGTAGCTTATCTCAAGTTATTGAATGTCTCATTATATTGTTGTATCGCCGTTTGAGTCATCCTAGTTTTCAATAATTGAAAAATATTTAACCTTTGATTTTTTCTAATAAAAATTTTTCTAACTTCAATTGTGAGACATGTCAGTTAGCCAAGTATCATCTGGTCCATTATCCACCCCACGTACACACCGTCCGCTCATTTTCCCTCACTCACAGCAGCAGATGGGGACCTCTCACATTTCCAGCTACACCAATAAAAAGTGGCTCCTGATCTTGATTAATGACCATACTTGAATGACGTAAGTCTGCATTTTAAAAAACAAATATGAATTTAACTATCATCTTCCAAAACTTCTGCATTTCTGTTTTAACTCAATTTAAAACTCCTATTTAGGTTCTTCGATCCGACAATGGTCGTGAAATTTTTAACTCTATTTTAGGTGAATTCCTGTTAAATAAGTGCATCTTCTACCAAACCATAGCTCGTGTACAGACACTCAACAAATTGGGGTAGGCGAGCGCAAAAATCGTTATCTCATCGACGTTGCTCGCTCCATTATGTTTCAATACAATGTCCCGAAATAGTTTTGGAACGATGTCATTGTAACTATCACCTATCTCATAAATAGAGTCATTTTTAAAATTCATAAGTTCCAAACATCCTTAGCTATTCTAATGTCACGCTTCCTTACTAATTGAATTTTCTCGACATTAGATCCTAAGGTTTTTTGGTTCACGACTTTTATTCGGAACACTGCCCCTAAGAGTAAATTTGATCTCAGATCCATAAAATATTTCTTAGTTTGGTTCACGACTTTTATTCGGAACACTGCCCCTACTCAGAGTAAATTTGATCTCAAATCCATAAAATATTTCTTAGTTAGTTACTCCACAACTCAAAAAGGGTATCGATGTCTTGATCCTACCACAAACAAAATCTATTTGAGTGCTGACGTCTCATTCTTTGAGAGTATTTTCTATTTTTCTAGCTCAACCTCAGATGAGGTGGAGCTTGAGTTCTCTGACACGATCCTTTATCCTACTCCTATGGATGTTCTCCCTATTGTTCCTACCACTGAGGAGTTAACTGTTTCGTTGAGTACACCATCTCCTCCTCCCACTATTCGTGTTTACACTCGACGCACTCAGTCTAATTCTTACTCTGGAGTCCACTACCTCCTTACTAGACTAGGACTCCACTCCAAGAGATATCCTCAGCACGACTCCTACAAATGGGGAGGTGAGTATTCTAAGTAGGGTACACAATCAGACATACTCTCTCTATTTTATGAAAAAATATGTTTCTTTCCATAGTCTATCGTCGACCTACAGAGCATTTGACACTGTCCCAGTAGATCATCAGATTCCTGCTACTATTGAGGTTGCTCTTGTTGATGAATGTTTTTCAAGGGAACCATACATGGGATGTTTTGGATCTTTCTCGGGGTAAGAGCTGTAGGGTGTCGATGGATTTTCAGCACCAAGCTCAACTATGACGGGTCCTTTGAACGCAACGAGACAAGATTGATTGGCAAAGGATGCTCACCTACTGAGTTGTATATGATGAGACATTTATTCCATTGGCTAAGTTAAACATTATTCAGGTTCTGTTGTCACTTGCAGTGAATCTAGATTGATCTTTATTCCAACTAGATGTCAAGAATGCATTCTTGAATGGAGATCTGACAGAAGAGGTGTGCATGTATCTCCCTCTGGGATTTCATTTTACTATCTCCAAAGAACATGCAGGCTACAAAGTCTTCTATAGGCTAAAGCAGTCCCCAATGGTCTAGCTCGGCAAGTTCACAAAGGTGGTCGTGGGCCATGATTTTACTCTGGCTCAATTGAATCGCACCCTCTTCTTCCAACATTCTTTTAATTGACAGGTAGTTATCCTTATTGTTGATGTTGACGATATTGTTCTTACAGATAACGATTTCGCAGAACTGACGTCTTTAAAAGAGATTCTTGTTACATCTTTCGAGATGGAATTGGAATCTCTCTGGTACTTCTTAGGCATGGAAGTGACTCGATCATCTTGGGGAGTTTGTCTGTCTCAACGCAAATATGTGATTGATCTCTTGATAAAGATCAACCTTGTTATGTGCAAACTTGTTGTTATTTTTATGGATCTAATGATAAATTATCTGAAATTCTCAATGTTATGTCTATCAACAAGACTCATTACCAGCGTTTTTTGGGAAAACTCATCTACATCGCTCATACTTGCCTCGACATATGTGTCACAGTTGGAATAGTGAATCAATTTGTGCATGACTCCTATGAGCATCGTCTCCAAGCTGTCCATTGTATTCTCCACTATTTGGAAATTAGGTCGCGCTCCAATTTGTTTCTCTCGTCACACTTCTCGGCCTATTGTTGTTTATATAGATGTGGCTGGAGCGGGATCAGTTCATGATCGACATTCCATCTCGGAATATTGCTCATTTTTATGAGACAATCTTGTCATGTGAAAAAACAAGAAACATGAAGTAGTGTTAAAACTTAATTCTGATACATAGGAATTTATGAAGTTCTTTGGCTACGCATCATAATTTGCGAACTCAGTATGCCAACATCTATCCCACTGCAGCTATTATGTGATAATAAGAACACAATCAGTATTGCTCACAATCCAATCTAACATTATTGTACCAAACATGTGGAGATTGATAGACACTTCATTAATGAAAAAATCGATTCTGGAAAGATTTGTGTTCCATATGTGCATTTCAATGGTCAACCAACGGACTTTCTCACCAAGAATTTTTGTCGTCCTTTCTTTAATGACTTCAAATCCAAGTTAAACATGACTGAAATTTATGCTTCAACTTGAGAGAAGTATTAGATTATAACGACAATCCCTAGCTATTATTACTTATTATTTGCTTTTATTTCCTCATTATGTATTTCCTATTTTGCTTTATTCTATTTTATTTTTTTTTCTAGTTTTAGTTTGTTTTATTTTTTATTTTTAGTATGTCTATTGTAATTGAGTTTAAATACCCCTCTCATCAATAATATGATGTTGCTCTATTTCATATAATTTGTTAAGCTATGTTATCTTTATTTATGTATTTTATTTTGTATAAATTTATAAATCTATTTATTTTAGATTTTATTCAGCTATTTATCTTAGATACAATTGTAATGGGGAGGTGAGTATTCTAAGTAGGGTACACAATTAGACATACTCTCTCTATTTTATGAAAAAATATGTTTCTTTCCATAGTCTATCGTCGACCTACAGAGCATTTGACACTGTCCCAGTAGATCATCAGATTCCTGCTACTATTGAGGTTGCTCTTGTTGATGAATGCTTTTCAAGGGAACCATACGGGGGATGTTTTGGATCTTTCTCGGGGTAAGAGCTGTAGGGTGTCGTGGATTTTCAGCACCAAGCTCAACTATGACGGGTCCTTTGAACGCAACGAGGCAAGATTGATTGGCAAAGGATGCTCACCTACTGAGTTGTATATGATGAGACATTTATTCCATTGGCTAAGTTAAACATTATTCAGGTTCTGTTGTCACTTGCAGTGAATCTAGATTTATAAATTTATACAAAATAAAATACATAAATAAAGATAACATAGCTTAACAAATTATATGAAATAGAGCAACATCATATTATTGATGAGAGGGCTATTTAAACTCAATTATAATAGACATAATAAAAAAAAAATAAAACAAACGAAAATTAGAAAAAAAAATAAAATAGAATAAAGCAAAATAGGAAATACATAATGAGAAAATAAGAGTAAATAATAAGTAATAATGGTTAGGGATTGTCGTTATAATCTAATACTCCCCTCAAGTTGAAGCATAGATTTTAGTCATGTTTAACTTGGATTTGAAGTCATTAAAGAAAGGACGATAATTGCAATTGCCACTCTCATATTCCATGTGGTGATTGCTAGGATATATTTCTCGCATCGTTTTTTTTAAATCCAAAAATTTATATGATGGTTTAACTTACATATTTCTTCAATAAACCGAGTTAAAATAAATCAACATAATCATATCATTATTAAGAATACATTCAACTTAGTTAATGTTTAAATATATGCAAAATTTTCCCATATTTGTATATACCTATCTATTCTCTGAAATCATTATCTGCTATATGTAACCTTGTAAATGCAGGACATTGCTAGCTCAACTGAAGCCCTCAACAGCCTGCAAGGAACCTCGTTAAACACCTCATCTGGGGACCCCCTGCGCATAGAGTATCCTTCTATCAGCCTTTAGCCTCGTGAATAGTTCCTTTATGTTTACATATCTGACAACTAAACTTTCAATATTTACATTCATACCACCTTACCTATGCTAGCAAAGGCATTTTTTTTTTTAAAGTTGAAATCGTGGTATTTTTGATGTGATATGAAAGATTTGGGTGGTATAATATGAAAAACAAAGTTTAGGTGTTAGATATGTAAATACATTGGAATTGGGTTGTATGTATGTAAATGCCCCTTATCTAATTAATTGTGTTTAGGTATTCAAAATCACGCATGGGCTTGCGCAAAAGGGATAGGCGATGAAGGAGCCTGGCAAGTCCTTCTGAGCTTTAGCATCCCTGCTATTTAGCCTATAAGCTTTATCAATTTTGATTGGCATTGAATTTGAATTGAATTTTGTGATATGTTGAAATGTGTTTATGAATTTAATGGATGTATTTGTTCATGTTTTAATTTGTGTGAATGTATGGATGTATATATAAATATGTTGATTGTAAAATATCTTACAACTTAAAGCATGGATTGAGATTAGAGTTTTGGAGTTTGAAATGGTTTCTGTGGTAATGACATGGAAGATTATTACATACACACTATTCAATACCTATGCATTTACAAATCTAACACCTGAACTAAATTTTTTACATACATGCCACCTTCACAATGAATGAGAAGGTATATTTCATTTTTTATATTCCATGTGGTGATTGCTAGGATATATTTCTCGCATCGTTTTTTTTAAATCCAAAAATTTATATGATGGTTTAACTTACATATTTCTTCAATAAACCGAGTTAAAATAAATCAACATAATCATATCATTATTAAGAATACATTAAACTTAATTAATATTTAAATATATGCAAAATTTTCCCATATTGGTATATACCTATCTATTCTCTGAAATCATTATCTGCTATATGTAACCTTGTAAATGCAGGACATTGCTAGCTCAACTGAAGCCCTCAACAGCCTGCAAGGAACCTCGTTAAACACCTCATCTGGGGACCCCCTGCGCATAGAGTATCCTTCTATCAGCCTTTAGCCTCGTGAATAGTTCCTTTATGTTTACATATCTGACACCTAAACTTTCAATATTTACATTCATACCACCTTACCTATGCTAGAAAAGGCATTTTTTTTTTAAAGTTGAAATCGTGGTATTTTTGATGTGATATGAAAGATTTGGGTGGTATAATATGAAAAACAAAGTTTAGGTGTTAGATATGTAAATACATTGGAATTGGGTTGTATGTATGTAAATGCCCCTTATCTAATTAATTGTGTTTAGGTATTCAAAATCACGCATGGGCTTGCGCAAAAGGGATAGGCGATGAAGGAGCCTGGCAAGTCCTTCTGAGCTTTAGCATCCCTGCTATTTAGCCTATAAGCTTTATCAATTTTGATTGGCATTGAATTTGAATTGAATTTTGTGATATGTTGAAATGTGTTTATGAATTTAATGGATGTATTTGTTCATGTTTTAATTTGTGTGAATGTATGGATGTATATATAAATATGTTGATTGTAAAATATCTTACAACTTAAAGCATGGATTGAGATTAGAGTTTTGGAGTTTGAAATGGTTTCTGTGGTAATGACATGGAAGATTATTACATACACACTATTCAATACCTATGCATTTACAAATCTAACACCTGAACTAAATTTTTTACATACATGCCACCTTCACAATGCATGAGAAGGTATATTTCATTTTTTTAAGTTAAAATGATGGTAATTTTTATGTGATATAAAGGATTTGAGTCGTATAAATGTAAACGGTAAAGTTTGGATGTTACATATGTAAATACATAAGTAGTGGGTGGTACATATGTAAATGCCCCAAACTAATTGTTAGTAATTTAGTTTTATGCCGTCATGTGTGCTACTTCGTGGAGGTTATTGGAGTGTGAGAGTTATTGGAGTGAAATCGCAAAGGTCATTAGGGGTTTATTGAGGGATTATTGCGGTGTTATTGGATTTAATAACCTAATAACATCCCAATAATCCTCTAAATAATCTACGTAGTTCAACTTCAATAACTTTTTGTGGTTCTACTTTAATATTTTTTAGGTGAGCCCGATATAGCACACATGACGGTATATTATTAGAGTCTGCATGTAGAGCTACGTCTGGTCTCCATATAGAAAAATTTTCTCCTTTGCGAGCCCTTATTTAATATCATCACCTTCATCGAGATTCACTGAACACAACAATAAAAACAACAATGGGCACATCTGTCGTATGGATAAAGGTTTGTCCTTTCCCCATTTTTTTTCTCCCTCAACTCGATCAATTTTCACTTAACCCTTCTTCAATTCTTCCTCTATGTCCCGCATGAAGCATAACCACTCGACCTTGCCGGATCTCTGCTGCCCATTGTCATAGTCTCCCCACTCATTGTAATAGGGCACGTAGTTAAATCAAGGGCAATAATTCTGACAATCTCTAGTCGGCGAAGCCCATAATGCTATTCTTCTGTATATGCAAAACATCTTGCTGCATTAAGTTCAAGCAACTCTTCCCCGTAGAGGTGAAGTAATTATCTGCTCGCCGCCGCAATTCCCAGTCTACAAACCTCATCAGTATTTTGCCGCAAAACAAATTTCCAGCGAAGTTTAGTTCTCTACCTTCTTCATGCATCCCAAAGCCAACAGAATGGGAGCCGTAATCTTATTATACCACGCGTCGAACACTGTAAACCAAGTTTGTTCGATGAAGTTGATAATTGTCTCGTCGTAAAACTACAGGCTTTGATCACCTCCAACTTAATTAGTTCGATGGGTCGATCAACACCTTTTCACAATAAGACAGTTGCCTCGTCCTAGGACTACAAGCCTTGATTGCCTCTAACTTAACCTGACTGATGAGGTCGGTCAACTTCTCTTGACCTCTTTTAAGTTTGATATATCCGAAAAAAGAGTTAACCCTTTCAATTTGTAAGAGAATACTCTTGGTTGGTCTTCTGAAATACAAGCAAGAATGAAGAGAGATGTTCCTACCATTGCCTCAAATTAAGGGAGGGAGAAAACAGGGAAATTTTGAAGGCAAAATTTAAATTTTCTGGATAGTATTGAATAAATTAACCTCATGTGTCTTTATCCTTTTAAAAATAGTACAAAAAAAAAATAGAAAAAAATAGAAAAAAAAAAATCCACAATCCTGGATTCCCACTAGGTGAATGCTAGTGCGCAGACACCCGCTTTGCTAGCGCATAGACACAGTAGGTGCACGCAGTATGGTTTTTTCTTTACTCTGTGTCTTCTTCTTTGACTTTGAGTTTTCCTGAAGTTCTCATCCACTCAGTATGGTTTCGACATCGATTGTTAGTTTATTAAATGCCTCTAACATAAGCTTCTCGGCAAGTTCATGACCTCGTGTTCTGGTGCCGATCTGGTATGCAAATTTATGAATGTGAATGAGATAGATGAGTCCACTTGCAGTATTTGACAACATTTCTGACCCCTTACGATGTGCATAACAATAACTGTTATATATGTCCTTTTTAACATTAATAGACCATCAGAGTAATATATATTTATTAAGGATTTTTGTTACATTTTTGAGTTGAATAACCCTTAGAGCGTGAGCACATAATAAGCTCATCATTTCAATTTTTTTCCAACTACAGGTAATATCAGAATTACCTCTCTCCAGTTTAACAATCTAGTGTCTGTCTCTGTCCTTATTATCGAGAGTTCGAATATGAAATTCTGAATTCATATTAGCTGGGCACTCCACAGCCAGCCCACACAAACCATGTAGAAAATGTGCTTCAAACATTGAATATAACTTCCTTGTGTAAAGTAGAGCAACCTCTCTCAACACGGGACTACTTCTTATAGTGGGAGAAATTGCATACTGCTGACATTTAAAATCTTCATCCTTCTCATTTCTTCTCCAAGATTTCATAACATTTTCAAGACCCAAAAACATTCGATGATGGTGCTTATTACCTTGGAGACACCATGACAAATCTTTTTAATGGACTCACTTCTTTGCGTTGATAGGATCCCCATTCCAAAATTTCTTTATTGAAAGCGGTTGACCACTTGTCTCTGATTTTATACAATTCGTCCAACCAAACATTCTCGTGTAGGTTTCCCTTTTCGATCATTTCACCCCAAGTTTCTTGCCAAGTTTCTTTAAACTCCTCTTATGAGTCACATCTGTTTAAACATTTATTAAAAAGATCATTGACTCTCTTGCTACCCACACCACAATGAACTTTTGAAGATAATTTCTTGTGAATATGTCATTGACATAATCTATGTATGGTGTGCGGAAGACACTCTTCAATGGCTTTAGACATTGCTTGATCATGGTCAGTGAATAATGTTATTGGATGATTGTTATCTATTATACGAATAAAGACTTTGAATAATCACTTGAATGATTCAATTGTTTCATCTGACAAAAAACCAACACCAAAGAGAACATTCTGTTAGTGGTGATTCACACCGACAATCGGAACACAACATAAATTATATTTATTCAGTCTATAACTTGTATCAAATATTATTACATCCCTAAAACAGTCATAATTAATCCTGGACAGCCCATCGCACCATAAAAAATTCACCAAACAATCTGACTCATCAATTTGGAAGTCCCTCGCAAACATTGGATCCTCTGCTTGCCGCGTAGTGAACAATTATATGAGAGAATTAGCATCCCCTAGTTCAATTTGAACTCTTCTCTCTCTTTGTATGAACTCTTCTCTCTCCATCATATCCCGATCTATGAATATGTGTTTAAGGTTAACAATCAAGTCATTCCTGAAGGGTACGCATAATATCTATATCAGTTCACTTTAATAAACTTAACGTAAAGACATGTTGAAGATTTACTCACTTTACAGGGTATTGTGATAAGCACTGATCAATTATTGTTTGCATTTCCTCAGATATCACTGCTCGCCTAGGAAAATCAATATGCGACTCCGTCATTGAGGACTACACATAAACAAAGATGTTGAAATATCTAATGTACTAAATAACATATAAGAAAGTATTACAAAGTAGGTTAGAAATACCGCTGATTCAGGTACGTCCACTGGAGCTGGTAACCGTGCCTGTACTGGAGGTACAAATACCACTATCTACAAGGTTGTTTAAGTTGTTGGTGACAAAATATTTATATTGGGTTGTTCTGAGGTTGATGACTTATCAACTATTGGTTGTTCTGAGGTGGTAGCAGTATCAAGTAGTTCTACAATATCAAAAATTTGTACATTTGTTTGTTCTAGCGATGTGGTGTTCTCTTTATCAGTCATTGGATCATCAAGATGAGGTTGTTCATCAACATCCTTTGTTGTTTTTCTTTGTGAGGTTGTTCATCAACATCCTTTGTTGTTTTTCTTCGTTTATATTCAAAAGAAGTGAAAGGGGAGCTCACAACCTTTTTCCTACAACTGCTTCGGCCCTTAACCTCATGTAATAAGCTGGAAATCGACTGTGTGACTTGGGTGGGCATTCCAATAGTTGCGACTTCTTCCTGTAAACCCCTTTCCTCAACAATGCCTTGTTCGACAGGAGATGTTTGATAAGGGGAGTGAGGGAAGGAGGCTGGGTAGATTCCTCCTCAACATGCGGGATTCTAATAGGAGTAGGGGGGCTGGACAGATTCCTCATCAGCATGTGGGATTCCAACAGGAAGGGAGGGGGTTGGGAAGATTCCTCATCAGCATGTGGGATTACAACATGAGGGGAGGGGGGCTGGTCATATTCCTTATCAGCATGTGAGATTACAACAGGAGGGGAGGGGGCTGGGCATATTCTTCCTCTAGTATTATGCCTGTATTAGCTCCATCTTTTTCATTTTTATCAATTTTATTATGTAGTATAAACATTTGGTATTGCAGACTCGAAACTCCAACAATTATTGTATTAAGAGTCCCTTGGAACTCCTTGAACCATTTCTCTTGTCCTTTGATCAGATCAATTATTGCTTCAAGGTTCTTATTCATTACATTGTAAATTGGTTTAGTGGCAGTCTCCCCTGAGAACACTGACCCCATATCAAATGATACAGGAGGTTCTTCTCTAACTTTAGGCTGACGGTTTTGAAAATGTATAGTTGGCGCTGGACTGGGTAGTCCTTCATCTGGATTGACCAACAAATTGAGTTCCTCCTCTAACAGATCCAGGAATTTATCATTGACCTGCAATTTGTTTCAGGATAAAAATACCTTAATCACTATTACAGAAATAAATTATTTAATAACAGTGTAAATGACTAACATGTTCAGTGGTTAGTCTCTTAAAGGCTACATCTATCTGTGAAGAGTACAAGCTAACAATTGTAGACCATCTCAACATTCTGGGTGTGGCCTCAGCATCGGCAGGAGTTACCATAGATGTATGCTCAAAAAACCAGAGCTGCATAAAAGTTACTAAATATTCAGCATAAAAGATAATTAATAAACAGTAACAATATTCAGCTTATATTATATATTGACCGTAAGCAAATAAAAAAAATCATTAATGTATCCAATAGGCCGGTTCCACAATAATTTGATGGCCGCTGCATTAATTTGCTCTATAAGGAAATCACGGAGTGCAACCGACTAATTAAATGAGGCAAAATTATGAATGTTCTCCCCAAAGTTGTTAAGTCCTTCGGCTACACTAAAATTACTGGAGAGAAAAATAGATTTGATAACAAAAATTTTATAAACAATTTAGCAAAAGGGGTAGAAGACCCCCCTCTTGCGAAGTCCAAGAGATTGTTCCTCATCTGCTGGGCATCCACGCCACAAGACGGACATATGCTCCACTTTGGCACTGCACCTCTGTTTTGCATGCCAATTAGCAAGGCAATTTCATCGGGCAACAGCCGCAACTCTTTCCCTCCAATTTTGAAAACAATTTTATCGTGCTGTCAACATTGCAAAATTTATAGTGTCAAGACATTCTCCTGAGGATAAGAAGGGAGCTCCAATAACTGCTCAACATTCATTACTCTAAGCTCGTTTCTCGTGTCCTCAGATATTGAATTCCTAACTTTATCCAACACATCTCTCACTACAGATGGTCACTACAGAGATGGTCGGCATCTACAGCTCATTGATCTTGGGTTCACAAACCTATAAAAATAATATAATGAAATAAATATCAGATGTTATAACCTTAAAAATCAATGTCATTATTAAGATGCTATTCGGGTGTGGTTGTATTATTATGATATTATTATTATGGTATTATTACGGTATTATTATGGTTATATTTTGGTTATATTATTCACGTAGTACTATGGTATTATCACGGTTATATTACGATATTATTAAGGTTATATTTTGATGGTATTATTCTTGTATAATTATGGTATTATTACGGTTATATTTTAGTTATATTACGATATTAACTTTTTAACTAGTGTTATGAAATTATTACGGTTTATTTTGTCTTTATTATTCAGTATTAATCAAGTTTTGTATAGGAGAACTGCATTTTAATTAAAGGAACTTTTTAATTAAAGGAACTGTAAAGGAACTGTATTTTATTTAAAAGAACTGTTGATAATCTTTTCAAAGAAAAACGACCAAGAATATAAAATATTACCTGGAGGAACCCTCTTCAATAACCTTCTTCTTACGGTCATTGACTTTTTTCTTCTTTTGTTCATTGAACTTCATTCTCGACGGCTCATCTTTGGTTTTCATTCTCAACGGCTCTTCGACTTCCACTGTTATAGGGTTTTCATCTCAAAAGACTCGGCTTCCATCTTGATAAGTTGAACTCTAGCGGTGAACTGACGAATGTACTTCGACCGGGGAACGGAGACTCGAAACCCTAAACAAATTGTGAATGGCAAAAGAGGTGGTGTGTCTGTCGATTTTCCTCCGGAGTTTTTTTTCGATAGTCGTTTCTTATTATGCTTCCGATCAATTTATTCAGAGAACTCGGGAGGGAGTAAAGCCGAGCCTCACGTGATAAAAGCAGTTTTTTAATTTCAAGGAACACTCGAATGTTACCATAATACAACTATAATAATACTCGACTTAATAAATACATAATAACGCAATAATAAAACCACGATAACACCGCAGTGCACAACAAAAATACCGCGGAGCTAATAACATCAATGCCACCACAATAAGACCCAAATAATATCTAATACAACCATACTAATACATCACCGCAATGTTAATAAACAGAATTGTTAATAACACTCCAATCACTCATCAATAAAACAATAATACTACATAATGAAGCATAGAGCAATAATACTCGAATAATTCACTAATAATACCATGATATTACAGACGGTCGAATAAACATAATGAAACATAGAACAGTAATCACTGTTTCATACATTTATGACAGTCGAATAAACATCAATAGTATGCGGCAAAGGGGAGGTTGGTTTGTTGGTTTGTAGATTCAGCTCCAACTATGTTGGTCAAATTTGTGGGCAATAAGTTAGAGTTATTTAACGGCTCATTGAGGGATTGGTTAGAATCAGTGAAGAAGCAGAAAATTGGAACATTTGTAATATTCATTTTAGTGGAATGGAGAGTTCCTTGATTATTCGAAGGCAGTGGGATTGAGCTATTTAGTGATTCAGATAATCTTGAAAGATAAGCAGTCGAAAAATTATTCACATCAATGACATTCAAAAAATTATTCACATCAATGATCAAAGGTTGATTAAGAGGAAGTTTCAAGTTGTTCGCACATCTAAAGTTGATGGAGTTATATAATATGATGTCAATGCACTTACAACGAAAAAAAACTTTGAATAAACTGAAAATCATTAAAGTAACACTCTGATAATCCCAGAGAAACAACTGGTTAAACACAAGTAATGAGACAAATGTCAGAAGTATCCCTCCGATAAACAACTAAAGTAACTATTAAATCAACTAATTAAACCTCCGATAAACCAAAACAAATGTCACAACTATCCATTAAATCAAAAAATAAAACTCGCACAAACCCTGGAACTCTAAAACTGCAAAGAAGTCTTCAAGCTAGAAAAAAACATTCTGAGAGAAGCTAAACTTAGTCGGATCTGGAAGTCGTTGTCGTTGTCTTCGTCGAAAACATTCTGAGCGAAGCTAAACTCACTTGGATTTGGAAGTCGTTGTCGTTGTCGTTGTCTTTGGCGAGAGAGTAATCCATTTCGGCAGCTCCAAATATTAAAGTGCAAAAATAAAATAGGGGGAAATCTTTATGTTTTTCATTTTCCAAAAAAAGGTGAGTCGGGTCAGGCCGCAGGAGTTAAAAATAAAGAATTTATATATTTTGCATTAGTGAGATCGCATACAGACTTCTATGTGTTGCACGTATGAAATAATTTTTCGTGTGAATGGCAGGAGATGAGCTAAGGCATGAATGCCCCCACCCACTAGAGGCTGATCATCTTAGCCGTCCAGATTCAGATCTTGACGGCGAAAGAGACGCTACGCGGTGGCGGGCACCGACCTATCTCTGTCCCAACCTGGTCTTCTTCGAAGATAGAAAAAATCAACAGTTTCTCCTTCCATTTCACCTTAACCGCGCTCTCTCATGTCGATACAAGGTCGGCTTCTCGACGTCACAGGTAATCTTCTATTCCTTCTCGCCGCCGATCGGCTGAAAACCCTCATTCGTTCTATCCATTCTCTTTGCTGAAACTGAAATTTATGGGTGATCCCTTTTTTCCGGCCGGAAGTTGTGGGATGCTCCAAGCTGAAGGATACCGAGTGGATTTCTCGCCAGGATCCATACGTTTGCCTCGAGTATGCCACCACCAAGTTCCGCACCCGCACATGTACTGGTCAGTACAGTTTTCTATCCCCTTCAAGTTCAGATCCTCTCTCTTTCTGCTATTGTGCTTGATGGTTGAAATTTCTTGGGGGAAGATGGTGGGAAGCACCCTACATTCCAGGAGAAGACCGTCATCCCCTTAATCGAAGGCCTCCGCGAGATCTCCGTCGCCGTCTGGAATAGCAATACCATCACATTCGACGACTTCATCGGAAGCGGCCGGTAAACCCTAATATACCCTCTCTCTCTCTCTCTCTGTCTCTCTGACACATCACCCATCCCCTTAGGATTCTGCTACATAAGGTCCTCTCCCAGGGGTACGACGACTCCTCTTGGACGCTTCAGACTAAATCCGGCAAGTAAGATTTCACAACTGTTACTACAAACACTACGAATTCCATGCCAAAAATAACCATTATAACTTCGATTCTGCCTCAACTACTTTGCAGATTCGCCGGAGAAGTGAAGGTAATCATGCACTTTGCCGGCGCTTATGTAAGTTACTTATCGAATATCTTCAAGTTGCAAAATCTTAACTCCGAACTAACATCTTCGATCTTCCCTGTATCTCATCATCATCAGCAGCAGCAGCAGCAGCAGCAGCACGGCTACCAACAACACAACTCCCAGGAATCAAATTATCCGACGAGCACACTGCAGCCTTACATGCCTATGGCTCCACCTGCTTCTTCTTCCTATGCTCCGCCTCCCCTCTACCCTCCGACGATGAACCGATACTCTGCCCCAAGTTCAGGTTACCCGTCTGCTTACCCGCACGCTCCGTATCCATCGTCCACTTACCCTCCTTCGCCATACCCACCTACTTCTTATCCACCTGCCCCCTATCCGCCTCAGCCATACCCTCATGCCCCAGGAAATCCCTACAACGCTCCAGGTAATACGATATGTTGACAGTTGGAACCTTTCTCTGTTCTCTTTTGTTGCCATGGTTAAGCTTCAAGCTCACAATGAGGTGTTTTGCATTTAGGGGCTTACTCGGGAACTTATCCTCCGCCATCTTATTGAAGGATGCGTGGATGATGATACGTGTTTGGCCAGTGTACGAAGTAGACATGGATTGAAGATATGCTCTGTTTTGCAGAAGGTTGTTCCAGTGTTTTAATTGCTTGTCTAGTTCTTTAAATTTATTTGCAATTTTAACTTTGTAGAATTGTTTGCTTGCTCTACAATATTTAAATTGACGCAGTGAATGGTTTAAGTCTCCATTTTTTACCACCAATTTGTGATCTACTTGAAACAAACTTACTGTTAAATTAACAAATTTTCATCTAGGCATTACACAAATCTTCAGGCATTGCAGGAATCTTGAGATAATTTTTTTTTGGTGAGAAATGTTTGAACACCGATTAGAAATCATCAAAAATTTCAATTTCAGTAAACTTACAGTCAAACAGACCAGATCGACATGACGTACCTTATGACATCAAAGTTGGTCCAATCCAAATTTATTGAGCGCATATCGACCCATTAAGTTTTTTTTTAAAGTTTCTAGTGCCCAATTAGAAGGTCAAATGAATTTCAAATTTGACAACTTTATAGTAGAATTGAGTGTCTCGATAAGATGAATACAACGAGTTCACGATCGCTCAATTTCGATATCATTAAGGTACTAAATGTTTACAGAATGTCATGTGATCGAGAGAATCTCTCCAGGTTATCCGATAGAGTAGTGTGGATTCATTCCTTTTTTTGTAGGGGGACATCTCTAAGTGTCTATGATATAACCTACCCACTCTTTGAGAGGGGACTAAGTTCGAGATCTGAGCCTGAAGAAGGATCGGGAGGAGCTGAAGCCCAATGTTGTTTATGCACCAAAGATCTATTGAAGTTTCATGCTTCTGCAACAGCCCACCATCGTTCGTCAGCCAACGACGATCTCCATCGACCACCTTCTGCTACTTGCAACGAAACTCCCTACGGAATCTCAACATGTATCGTGTAATTCTAGCGTACGTTGTAAAGTAATGAAACAACAGACGATGCAACAATACACCCAAAGATGTATAACGAGACCACCCTTAAAACCATGCAGGAATGGAATGCATACTGAAGATGGTGTAACGATGAAACTCTGAAGACGCACTTTGAAGTCGGTGTAATAATCACCCTAAGTACAGTGTAACTACCTGTCATGACCTATTTGATTGACTGCGACTCACATGACCCATAGCTCGTTGAGCTCTTTGATTTCGGTCCTTGCGGTCTCTGAATGTCATCGCAACTCATCGCTACAGCTTGTGTGACCAATTACAACCTATTTGGCTCACAACTTATGCAACTCCCGATTTTGGCCCCTACAGTCCACGAATGTCATCGCAACTCACAACTATAACTTACGTGACCAATTACAAACTACATAACTTACAACTCGTGTAACTCCTAATTGTGACTCTTGCAGCCTATAGGCGTAAGAACAACTTATCATTATGACATACGTGACCAACTACGACCTACATGACACAACTTATGCAGTTTCTGACTTTGGGCCTTTTCGCCTACAAACGTCATCACAACTTATCATCGCAGCCTATAGACGTCATTGTGACTCATTACTACGACCCACTTGACCAACTAAAAATTATGTGGTTCCCAGTGAATTCCAACTCTGACCTTTGTGATCTACGGACGTTATTGCAATTGACACTGCGATCTACATGACCAAATACAACCTATGTGGCTAACAGCTCCCGCAACTCCCTATTATGGCCTTTATGGCCAATTGACATTCTTGAAGCATCCATCTATATCCTATATAGCCAACTACTGCCACGACATTCAACTACAACCTTTACAGCAATTTGGTGCTACGATCACTGTCTACAACATTCATGGCAGACTACTGTCTTCATATCCATCAATTATGGTATTAGCGGTCTGTTATACTATTATTGTTAAACTATTACTATATATTAACTTTGTAACTCTATTTTTCCTAATTCTAAATAAGAGTGGACTCATATACTCACAATTACTTGGTGGATTATTTCAATTAAGCAAAGCTTCGTGATTTTTTCCACTTGCTAAGTTTTTCTATATAAAAATTGAGTTGTCTCATCCAGTTTACTTCCCTTTTATCTATGTGTGTGTGGTGGACTTTATTCAACGTTGAGGGTCTGTTTGGGGCAGCTTTTCTGGTGTGTTGTGGTTTGAAAACGCAGCTTAACCTGTTTGAATAGTGCGGCGCGGTCTACCCCGCAGCCTGTTGTTTCTTTGTGATTTTATTACCCTTCCTTCACGATCATTTCATATGTGGCCCCCTCTCCTGTGTTTCTTCTGTCCTAGGTTCCTCTCTCGATCAGTCTCACGCCTTAGGTAACTCCCTCGTTTTTCATGCGCCTCTCTACAATGCGTAAGGGTTGCCTTTCTCTTCTCTCTCTTCCCTTTGATCCTCGGTTACTATGCTTTGTATGTAATTTTTGTGCTCATTTTTTATAGAATTATTTCCTCGTTGTGTTTTTCTGCTTTATCATTTACGGTTTCTTGTTAGAATATTGTGGACTTTGAGATTAGTGGTTATCTCATTCACCTCCTCTGATTTTTCGATTTGGAATTGTGGATTTTGCGATTTGGTATGTTGTTTTTTTATCAATGTTTATGATATAAATGGATGATGAGTGTGAAATGGCTTTGTCTCGCCACGTTCAAAGGAATGGCTTTCTCTTATCATTGTGTTTTTACCATTGTGTTTGTTTATTATTCACCTCCATTGATTTTTGAGTGGGAATTTGAAAAATAGATTGAGGGTGTTTGATTTGTTGATAAAAATGTTTCGGTTGCTCTGTATGTAACCTGATTAAATGATTATGGAGTGATTTTTATGTTTACCTCCACTAACTTTTGAATGGAAGTTTGAAAAATGGATGAAAGGAGGTGTTTGATTTGTTGATAGCAATGTTTCGATCGTCCTGTATATAACCCGATTAAATATGATTATGGAGTGTTTTTTATGTTTATGTCAACTTATTTTTTAGTGAGAAATTGAAAAATGGATGAAAGAAGGTTCTTGATTTGTTGATAGTAATGTTTCAGGTGTCTTATATGTATGTGCCTCAATTCAAAAATATTGGATTGGTTAGCTTTGATGTTTGAGTGAGAATTTGAAATTTGGATGAAAGAGGGTGCTTGATTTGTTAATAGCAATGTTTCGGGTGTCATGTATGCAATTGCATTAAATGAAAAATATGTTAATGTGTGGTATCGGTGGTTGTGTGGTGTGGCAGTGGTGTTGGTGTTCGTAGTGGTGTTGTGGTGGTGTTGGTGTTGGTGTTGGGGTAGTGTTGTGATGTGGTGTTGATGTTGGTGGTGGTGTTGGTACTCTGGTGGTGGTGTTGATATGATGATAGTGGTGATGTTGTGGTGGTTGTGTCATGTGGTGTTGTGGTAGTAGTGTGGTGGTGGTGTTGGTAATTATTTTCTTTTCATTGGTAATTCTAGTTTTCTTCGAGTTGTGGTATCTTAAATGACACTTTATTTTTTATGGTAAAATATTTATGTTGATGAGTTCTTTTCATGCTGATAACACAGTAGTCAAAACAAAAGAAATCGGTTCATCTGCTATGTGAGATAAAGGTATTAAACTAATTTTTTGTGACCTCTGTCTTAAGGAGTTGGAATTAGGAAATAGGTCAACAACCTATTTTAACAAAGAGGGCTAACAAAATAATTTAAAAAAACTTCAACGGAAGTACATGAAGGGGATATGATAGATTGCAATTAAAAAACAAATGAGATCGATTAAAAAAAGATTTAAAATTTTGGAAAGAATTGAAGTGAGGATCCACGGGTTGGGTTGGGATCCAAAAAATAGAACAATTAATGCTTCGGAAGATTGGTAGGCCGAGAAATTAGGGGTGGCAATTGATGCGAGGATCCACGGACCAAGAGATTGGATGTTGATTAGTTCCTTTCCTTTTTCAATGATATGGTTTTTGAGGTTCTTAGAGAAATTAGGGGTGGCAATTGATGCGAGGATCCACAGACCAAGAGATTGGATGTTGATTAGTTCCTCTCCTTTTTCAATGTTATGGTTTTTGAGGTTCTTGTGGATGGATCTTTTGGTGATATGCATATGTGAAAAATGGTGAGTTGTGTATTACGTTGTTTAATGACAACCAAAAACCCTTTTTTTAATAAGATATATTGTCTTCTTGTAATAAAAGATTCGTTGGTTTATACTCCATTTTCTGAGACTTCATAGTTTTATAAAACTTGAATTGATTAATTTAAATATTTTTTATTATTAATGTTGCATCTAAGAATTTGTGTTTTGTAGTTTTGAGCCTTCAGAAAAAATGAGCTTAAGGACTTCTAGTACTTCTAGAACATTGTACTGCTACTGTGGATTATACTGTTCTTTGCTTACTTTGCGATAGTCACATAACTATGGGTGATAGTTTTACAGATCTTCAAGAAAAAAGACAGGGAACTGTGACTTCTTTAGATGGGCGGATCAGTTTGAAGATTCCACCGCGGATAATGATCAGACGCGGATAGTTTTGTTGGAGAACAAATTATCTCGTGACATGAACCGACTGCATTCTACAAATAATATTATCATATTATTAATTGTTAGTTTAGTGATTTTTTTTTTAGTTTTGTTAATCGTGTTACTAATTTGTGAGGTGTCTAGTTTGATTTTGTAACAGTCAAATTGGATATTTGCAACTTGTTCAAACTGATATATAATTCCCATGTTTTAAGGATTAGTGTATGAAAATACATCTAATTCGATTGCAATTGATATATTGCAACATGTTCAAGTTCGGCCTTTATTCAATTGCTAGTTGGGCATCTCTTTGAGAACAAAAAGGAGTGAGAGTGGATATTATATATATTTGTTTAATGAAAAAATAACTTTCAATTGAAAGTGAAGAAAGCTTTATTGGATAAATAATGAAGGATAAGCTCATTACATATTATCCCAACATGAATTTAAAGATGATCATGTTAGATGTGAAGACGGAATACAATATTAATGTCGTATGATAAGGCATTGTGATGTTGTTAGAGGGTTATTATTTTTGTAAGATGGCCCCCAAAATTTTCCCTTATAAATCTTAATTATAATTGTATCTTATTATGCTAGACATGCAAAATTCAAGGATATAGTGTTCAGAGTAGATGAATAGTTTTTTATTATTTATTATAGAAATATTTTGCTTGTAATAGTGGCCCAACTGCCATTAGTCTCATTTATTTAATAACAATTGTAATAGTGCTTTCAAGAACTAAGAAGTGATAAATGTATAGTTTGAAGGTGTCAATAGATTTGCAATACTTTATGGCATAGAAGGTTGGCTAGTAAATGAGAAGCATAACATTTAGTTAAATGTTGCTCGGATGTTAATGCTTAAGTGAGTCGGCGACTTTACACTTAGAGATAAAATGTGAAACGAATATATTTGTTAAAGGTTTAGAGTAGCTTTGATGGCATGGTCACATTAAACGTCGGCCATCTTATGACCCAATTATGATAGTAGATGATTTAGAGTTGAATTATGTTATGAAAGGTAGATGTACACATAAATTGACTTGGGCGTGTTGTATAAAAAATGCACTTGATTTATTAGAATTATATAAAAAAGTCACTTAACATAACACAATGGAGAAAAATGTTTTATGTTGCCGACCTTACTTAGTCGAGGAAAGGCTTGTTATTTTTGTTGTTGCACTCTATGTTATGACAATCATCTTACATTTTACATAATTAGTTGACAAAACATGTCAATTACATTATATTGGGTAACAACAATAGTGATCGCTCTTAATGCATCGGCCTTAGATATCATGATCAATGATAGCACAATCGAACAATTTTATATTAATGATCAAACATTAAACAAACAATAATGGATTAACACTCGATTTATTTTTAAAATAATTCATATAGTCCAAGCAACATGATCGAGTTCTATCCGTTCTATGATCAAATCATCCAACATTTTTAGTTACAATTCAATAATGATTGTGAATTTTTAATCCACTATCAAATAATGATAGCACCATCTTGATATTATGATTGAACTATCTTGAAATGATTGTCTTTAAATCACAACTAATCAAGGATTGGATCAACTTCAAACTTATTCTATGCATTTCGACTATAAAAAGCTTTATGTTTATGGGATAAATAAAGTTTAATTTTCATTTCCTTAGTTTTGTTGATCTAGCTGCTGCTATAATAAATAAAATAAATAAATAAAAAGTCAATTTTTTACCCTCTGTCATTAGACATTTTCTTTTGTCATCAAACTTTATTCTACTGAACAGCCAAACTAATCTGCTATGGTTAACTCCAGTTGGCAAAAGGAATGTGGCCGCCGGCCAACTGCTGCATATTTCTCTCTTCTTTTGGACTATTTTGCAATAAGAATATAAAATTTAATTATATACAGGTAAAATGAGAATAAAATAATAAGTATAAATTTGAAAGTATTCTATTTTATTTTAAAAAGAATTTTTAAAAAGAATTCTAAGGATGTGGAATCTTGATTTGTTCATGAATCAGAGAGAGCGAGAGATATTAAGACTTTCTCATAGAATGTTTTTCTTATTTTATAGGGAATATGATATAATATGCGACATTAATTTTTACCCCTGCTTTATTGGGGCAGTTACAGGACTTTTTTAAGTATTTTGCATATATGAGTCGATTGTTGACTGCTTTGTCTTGCTCGGCTTTGGCTTGGTAAGGGTGGTTTGGTTGGCTTGACTGAATCAACACAGTTGGTCGACTGGATTTTAATTAGCTTTGGGCTAGCTAGATTTTATCGGTCAATTGATCTAGTCTGACTATTGACCCAAGATCCCTGGATGGGAAGCTTCTGTTGGCAGAATGTGACTAGACTATTGAGCAGAGAGTGAATTAACGTAACTTGAGAGATAACTCATTCCTGGTGATGGAGATCATCCATGATGAGTGTGAGGCTTTGTTACATTGTCAATTATTGGTCTCTTATGTGGAAGCTTGAGGGCACTTGTAGGACTGTTGGTGATGGTGAGGAACCAGATTATTTTCTTGAGATGAATCTGTTGAGAGGTAGGTTAATGTCTTCGCTCGGCTTCCCTGTAATGGTTAGCTCAGATGTTGATCTTTCTATTCAAGTCCGATTAGCCCGTACTTGGATCATTCTTTTTTTGTTCCTCTCCTGACTCGGTAAATCTTCGTCCTTGGTTTGGATGACTGCATCCAATCGAATAAGTGGAACCTCTTGGTCTCGTGTCGGTGAGTCCTTTGTTGTTTCTCATTCTTTTTGGATCTTTAGTTCTCTTCAAGATTTTTGCTAGCACATTATTAGATATCTTACCATATAAGAATTGCATAGTATGCATGTCAATGTCACCACTAAAAGATTTTAACTTTTGTATTTGAAATTTGGATTGAAATTGATTAGTTTTAAGCAAGACTTCTTAAATATTTGTACAATATCAATGATTTAATCATATGTTTTCATAGACAATTAATAAACTATTCTATGATTACTCCTAAAAATAATACAAGTCATTTTACATCAGTTGAATCCAGAAATATTAAGACTAAAACTACATTTTATCCCACCTCTCTGCTGAGAAAATATTACCTTTGGACGTTAGGAGTCCAATGGTGGGGCGTCATATGTCAAGTGGGCCCCACCATAACTGGCCAGAGTTAAAAATGGTGGAGCTCACTTGACACGTGATGACCCACCATTGAACTCCGAATGTTGTGCTAGCCGCACCTTAAATATGTAAAATCATATTGCATTCACAGAGCGCCTAGTTTGCTAAACTAATTTACATTTGAAAGTATATAATTCAGTTAAAAAGCCAAATAACAAATCAAATTTGTAAACTGAAAGCTTTCTCACATATCAAACAAGAAATATATGTACAACAATGTCAATGACAATTTCTTCTCAAATTTCCGATGTCACTGGAAATTCCAATGAATTTAACAGGAAATCAAAACATAAATTCAGAAATAATTTTTTTTTAAGAAAAAAACATACCAGCAATCAAATCAATGAAGCATTTGGACGAACACCTTTGCTTCATCTTAGAAATCATCTTCCTCCTCTGAATCCGATGATACTGAATTATCCGACATGAATCGAGCAGGTAAATTCGGAAACCTGGTCGTAATCCTCTTCTCTCTCACCGACGGTGACTCGGCCGTCTTCGCCGCCGGCGAGCGATTTGTCTCTCCTTCCTCCGCCGGGTTTGCCGCCTTCTTCTTCTTCTGAAGAGTCCTGGTAATATCAACGCACGCCTGATCCACCATTGCCAGGAAATCCCTCACTATGGCAAAAAGCTGAAGCGGCTGCGTGCCTTTGTCCTTTGAAGTCCCCGGCTGATAGTACTCCGTCGTCCTCCTCACTTTCTCCATTACCAACCTCTGCTCATCCTTCACATTTTCTATCTCTCCTGCCGCTGCTTTCACGAACTCCGTCATTTCTATCACAAAGCCTCCTTCCTCCCCCTTCCAGCTCTCCACCAGCTTCTGGATCTCCGCCAAACGCGCCTCCACGGCGCCCCCACCCGCGAGAGCGTCGGGATCGATCGCAGCCGCTTTCTTCACATTTGCGAACTCAATGCTGAGCTCGCCGACGATTGGCAATCCCAGCATAATGTACTCCTTCTCTCTCTCTTCCCTCGCCATCCGATGCGCTTCCTGCTCCGCCAGCTGCCGGATGCTCTGACTCCGGTTCAATGCAGCGCAACGCTTGCCTTCCGATCGAACGACCTCCTCAACCACGAAATGGAGCAGATTCGTCTTCCCATCGGTGCTCTTGATGTCTGAGAGCTTGCGAAGAGCGATGAGATCAAACGCCTGCGCATTTCCCCTCGCCGTGCCGGCGTTCATCCGGTTCCCAGCTTTGAGAATAGCTTCGAGCAGCTTGAGGAAGAGAGGGCGGGTGCGGAGCTCCTTGCATGCTAGATCGAGGGTTTTGAGAGTGTCTTTGAGGATGAGGATTTCGGGTTCGTAGACAGAGGAGCGGAAATGGAGGGCGGAGACTCGTGGGAAAGCGGCGGGTACGGATTTAAGGATGTGAAAGAGGAATGACTCGGCGTCTGCGAGGTGAGACGTGTCGCCCGAAAATGAGAGGATTAGGGTTTCTTCGTCCTTGGTGAGGGAGATGCGGGAGAGCTTCTCGAGGGTATCGTTATCGAGGCCATGGCCGTCGATCAAGGCGTCAAGGATGTCATGGCGGCTGACGGCGAGGGTGCGGAGGATGATGGAGGTGTTTTGGGATTTGCGGGGGTCGAGAAGGCGTATTTGGGCGGGACTCGGACAGGAGATGGAGGTGGAGGTTGTAGCAGAGGTGGCGGAGGGCCGGCGGGGGTGGTTGGTAGGGACGTAGCCGAATAGGGTTTCTAACAGCTCGTCGTCGAAACTGGGGTAAAGAGATGATTAATAAATCTCAAAATTAAGAGAAAAATTTGCGCAAATTTAGGTGAAGTTATATAGACATTATATCGGCATTATATTCGCGTTATATTCATTCTAACCTCTAAATAACATAACAAAATTAAGAGAAAAATTTGCGCAAATTTAGGTGAAATTATATCGGCATTATATTCGTGTTATATTCATTCTAACCTCTACATAACATAATTGAACTTACAAATAAGTCTTGTGTTTCTATTTTAACATATATGTAGGTTACATGTAAGTTACATGGAAGTTATATGGATGTTACAAGGGACATAACGCGAATATAATGTTGATATAACGTCCATATAACCTTCATTATATACGCAGCGCCACGTACGTCTTATGTACGCAAATTTTTCTCCAAAATTATGCGTTAAATATGTAAATAATTAAGATTCGTGTGTATGCATGTAATTTTTTTCAAAAATGTATTCTGTTTCAAATTTTTATAACTGAAATATGACAATTATTCCAATATATTGTCATGCTAAAATAATAATAATAAAAAAACACAATTGAAAGAATTTATAATTTGATTATTCATTAAAAAAAAATCACATTTGAATAAAAGATTATAGAAAGCATTAAATATTTTATCATTTTAATTGTATAATCCATTACTTAAAATTATGAACAAGTTTAATTAATTATTTTATAAAGAATGACTGAATTTATCATGTATTTTTAATTTTTCATTAACAAATTTAAATCACTAATTAATATTATTAATTATAAAAAATTATATTTTAATTCTTTTTTCTTTTTCAAATAATATTGCTATCAAAGAAAACATTGAATATTTTCAATCATTTAAAACCAGGTCAATAGCCCAGTATATATCAACACACATAAATGAACAGCTGGAATTTGAATTTACACCCCGCTGAAATATTATTTATTTATATATCTTTATTTATTTTTTTTTAATTTTTGATTCACATAACATTTTAACATTTAAATCATATAATAAAAAATAACTAATTAAATTAAGTTTGAAAATAAATTATTATTTAAACAACTTTAAATTTAAGCAATATTAATGTCAGCTAATGCAAATTATATATATTAAATAAATAAACTCTTATAATTGGCCAAGCAACTGAATGATGGTTTTAATAAAATCATATTTAACATAATATCATGCCGTGCTGCAAAAATCTAATCTTTCTAAAAAATTATAATAACCACCATAACTAGGGCTGTCAAAACGGCTTGTTGTTTGCAAACAGCTCGTGTTCGGCTCGTTAATTTTGATCGACAACTTTGGACTTGATAAATATGATGGTTTTCTCATAAATGCCATAAAGACTAAATTCATCAAGTAGTATAATCATACAATTAATCCTAATTAACACTTGATTAACTACATTATAAAATTAGACAACTTCAATGAAATGCATAAAACGAGTACAATTTAGGGTGTAAACGCTCGTGTTCGGCCCATGTATATTTTCTTTGTTCGTGAACAACTCGTGTTCTGCTCGTTTGTTTAACGAGTCGAACATGAACACACTTTTTGAGCTCGAAATATATATGAGCTGCTCGTTTACACCCCCTACATCCAATTTAAAAAATTTAAAGTACGCTATTATATAATATTTAAATGCAAATGTATTATCAAAACAAATCACAACCGTCAAAACACGTACCCGGTGGATCCGTCGGTAATTTTGTCCCACACCATCGAATGCCCCGCGTTGGCCGGCGTGACCTTGTCCCAATGTAGCGGCTTAAATATCAGCCTTTCGTTCCGTCCTTCCGGCACCGGCGGCGGCCTCGAAAAATTCGCAGGAGCCGGAGTTCCTCCACCTTTTCTCGCCGCCGGCGGCGGCGGCGGCGGGGCGG